AACATTGCAGTGATTATAGCACAGCGTAAAATCACATTACAGACCTGCTTAGTTTTAAGTAGGAAATAAAGAAATAAAGCTGAAAGTTCAAACATTACAGTCTTTCTTAAGTGCTTAGCCACGGTGGGACCACACTTTGAGGAATCATCTCAAGCCTGGATATCCACACCGAGGTCACGCTGGGGCCAGAGACCGCCACGTACCGCCGAAAGACCACCATGCTGGGCTGAGAGACCACCACGCTTGGCCAATTAGAGATCACTACACCGGGCTGAGAGACTGCCATGCTGGGCTGAGAGTCCACCACATTGGCCAAGAGTCCACCACACTGGGCTGAAAGTTTGCTATGCAGGATCAATGAAAGATCGCCATGCCGGGCCAAAAGACCACCACACCAGGCCGAAATACCATCATGCCAAGCTGAAAACAAGAATGCAGGACCCATGTGGTGACCTGAGCCCCTGTGAAAATTGAACCTATGCTGGTGGCTTTACTCTGCATTGTCAACCAGCTGTTCAGTCAATGGAGGTACTGACACTCCCGTTCTGCTTTTTCTTAGATTGTTTTTTGGAAATCAACCTGTTCAGATATGATACATGTTTTGGTTAGGTGGGACTTGAACCCAGATCTCTTGGTTCAGCAGTAGGAAGATTAATTAGTGATTGCACATGGGCCTTGTTGGGTTATCACAGACCCATATCATTGCATCCTAATTGCTCTGAAGTCGTCTCGCAAGACTCACTGTTGAGTCAATTGCAGATGAGCCATTAAATTATTATGCATAAAATGTTCTCCCGGTCCAGTCAGCCTTTAAGGCCTCTTCACTAACATTTCGGGATTAATGTCAAAGCTGAGAGGGTTGTCCCACATTCTAGTCAAACAACTGTCTAAGTGCTGAGCCAGCACTCATATCACCAGTGAATAGAGGTACCCCATCCCACTATGTTTCTGGTGGGAATGCTAAACCTGTGTGAAATCTTGCCTATGATGTTTTAAACATTGGCAACTAAAAAATCACCAGAATAGCAAGTTTTCACTTAACATCTAGCTCTCACTTAATACCTGCCAATCTAATCAAGTTAAATGAAAGGTCATATGAGATAGCTTGATACTAAAGGGCAGTTTTTACGATATAGCAAAGTGGTACACAAAATAATGGAAGTTGAGCACAATTTACTGCTGTCAGACAGTTTAAAATATCTCACTTTAAGGAGGGAAAGCTAGCCATAAATATAAAAATAAACAATAGAACATAGAACATAGAACATTACAGCGCAGTACAGGCCCTTCGGCCCTCGATGTTGCGCCAACCTGTGAAACCAATCTGAAGCCCATCTAACCTAAACTATTCCATTATCATCCATATGTTTATCCAATGACCATTTAAATGCCCTTAAAGTTGGCGAGTCTACTATTTTTGCAGGCAGGGCATTCCACGCCCTTACTACTCTCTGAGTAAAGAACCTACCTCTGACATCTGTCCTATATCTATCACCCCTCAATTTAAAGCTATGTCCCCTCGTGCTAGCCATCACCATCCGAGGAAAAAGGCTCCTACTGTCCACCCTATCTAATCCTCTGATCATCTTGTATGTCTCTATCAAGTCACCTCTTAACCATCTTCTCTCTAACGAAAACAGCCTCAAGACCCTCAGCCTTTCCTCATAAGACCTTCCCTCCATACCATCCTGGTAAATCTCCTCTGCACCCTTTCCAATGCTTCCACATCCTTTCTATAATGCGGTGACCAGAACTGTACGCAATACTCCAAGTGCGGCCGCACCAGAGTTTTGTACAGCTGCAACATGACCTCATGGCTCCGAAACTCAATCCCTCTACCAATAAAACCTAACATACTGTACGCCTTCTTAACAACGCTATCAACCTGGGTGGCAACTTTCAGTGATCTATGCACATGGACACCGAGATCTTTCTGCTCATCCACACTACCAAGAATCTTACCATTAGCCCAGTACTCTGTATTCCTGTTACTCCTTCCAAAGTGAATCACCTCACACTTTTCCGCATTAAACTCCATTTGCCACCTCTCAGCCCAGCTCTGCAGCTTATCTATGTCCCTCTGTAACCTGCAACATCCTTCCGCACTATCCACAACTCCACCGACTTTAGTGTCATCCACAAATTTACTAACCCATCCTTCTACGCCCTCATCCAGGTCATTTATGAAAATGACAAACAGCAGTGGCCCCAAAACAGATCCTTGAGGTACACCACTAGTAACTGAACTCCAGAATGAACATTTCCCATCAACCACCACCCTCTGTCTTCTTACAGCTAGCCAATTTCTGATCCAAACCGCTAAATCACCCTTAATCCCATGCCCCCATATTTTCTGCAATAGCCTACCATGGGGAACCTTATCAAATGCTTTACTGAAATCCATATACACCACATCAACCGCTTTACCCTCATCCACCTGTTTGGTCACCTTCTCAAAGAACTCAATAAGGTTTGTGAGGCACGACCTACCCTTCACAATAAGAGTTTCTATAAATATTTAAAAAGGAAAACAGTTAACAAAATGAGTGTTGATCCTATAGGAAATGAGTCTGGAGAATTTGTAATGGAAACTAAAGAGATGGCAGGTGAACTGAACAGGTATTTTGCACCAGTCTCCCCTAGAGAGGGCTCAAGTAATATCCCAGAAGCAACTATAAATGGGGAAATGAAAGAGAGGAAGAATCTTAGAAAAATTACAATCATCAGCAAAATGGTACTGAGTAAATTGTTGGAGCCGTGAGCTGACAAGTCCTCAGTCTGGTGGACTTCATCCTTGAAATGAAAAAATAGCTCGTAAGATAGTTGATGCATTGGTTTTAATTTTCAAAAACTCTTGCAATTCTGGGTAGGTCTCTTTAGATTGGAAGATAGCACATCTATTAGATTCTATTACCCTTATGCATTTTGTACGGTATGATCTGCCTGCACAGCACGAAAAGCAAAACTTTTCACTGTACCTAGGTACATAGCACAATAATAAATCAAATCAAAGAATGAGACATAGCAGGAAACTAAAGGCCAGCTAGCTTAATATCTGTCATAAGAAATATGTTAGAAGTTATTACTAAAGAAGTTATAATAAGGCACTTATTTAAGTTCAAGGCAATCAAGCAGAGTCCATATGGTTTTGTGAGAGGTAAGTCAGGCTTCACTGGAGCTCTTTAAGAAAGTAACATGTGTCTTGGATAAAGGGAACCTGATGGATGTTCTGGTCTCAGATTTCCAGAAGGCATTTCATCAAATGAAAAATTCCCACATCAAAGGCTATTGTGGAAAATAAAAGGTTATTATACAAGGAGAGAGCAACATATTATCATGGATTGATGGTTGTCGGGCCAAAAAAAGGCAGACAGTAGGCATAAATGGGTCTTTTTTGGTTTTGCAGGACATGAAGAGTAGTGTGCACAGGGATTGGTGCTGGGATCTCAAGTTTCTTCTTACTTTTCTAAACTCCAGTGGATACAAGCCTGTCCAATCTTCCATCATAAGACAACTCGCCCATTCCAGGTGTTAGCCAAGGAAAACCTATCTGAACTTCTTCCAACGCATTTACATTCTTTCTTAAAGTGTCCAATATTGTGCGCAGTACTCCAGGTGTAGTTTCACAAACACCCTGTATAACTGAAACATAACCTCTCTACTTTTGTATTCAATGCCCCTTGTAATAAAGGATAACCTTCTGTCAGCTTTCCCAGTTACTTGCTGTACCTGCATGCTGACCTTCTTACAATTAATGCACTAGGACACCCATATCCCTCTGCATCTCAGAGCTTTGCAATTTCTTACAACTTAAATAATATGCTTTTTAAAAAAATTCTTTTACCAAAATGGACAATTTCACGTTTGTCCACATGCTTGGCCTGCTGTGTTCATTCAGCTCTACACCTTGTTATACTCCATTTGCTGCATCTTTGCCCACTTATTTAACTTACCTTAACCATTTTATAGCCTCCTTATGAGCTCTTCATCATTTAATTTCCTACCAAGGCTTGTGTCACCAGCAAATTTGGCAACCATAAAATTTGTTCTTTCATCCAAGTCCCTTAGTAAGAAAGAGTTCTTGATTTAAGACATCTGATTTCTTTTCTTCCATGATCAAAAAATGATGAATCTTACTGGACCGCATTTCTTGGCTGTTGGAAACCTTTCCACCAGCCATTGTTTACACACTCTTAGACAGCGAGTGTTCAGCAGACATTCTACTGCATGGGATGCATATCACAATCCCATTGAATCTTGCTGTCATTTGATGCATGTCCCCTTTTCTGGTCAAAAGCAGAGGCTTGCTGGGCTCTCTCTTCCTGAATCCCAGTGGTAGACGTAACATATAGGATCCTCTTCCTCTTAGCCTTATTGAGTGCATGGATAACTCAGTAGAAGCTAGAAATTTTAATAACTCAGTTCTCCATTGCCTGTGCCATCTGACCCAGCAGGGAGATAGGTTTCCCCTTTATTATCACTTCAGACTGTTAACGGGATGTGAATGGGATTAATATAGCCCAATGCCTTTACTTTCTTTTTTCCTGCTCCTTCTAATGGTTTCTTCCTTTTTCCTCCCTCTCCATGTCTCCATCATCTTGCCAGCTAATTGAAAAGCAGAACAGAATGAGAAGATGAGTGGCCTACTCCTGTTAGTACGTTCTAGCCACCTCCTTTTCTGGGTTTATTCCTGTGTTCCTTCCGCTGCTCCACCCTCTGTTTCTGTCTCACTGTAAACCTCTCCGGGGTCTCTCTCTTTCTCTGTCTCTCCAACTTTCCAATTCGTCCTGGCGAGTCTCTCCATTGCTCTCTTTCTCTCATTCATGCCAAATTTCCTTATTTTCCTTCCTTGACCTGTACAAAGTTATTTTTCCTTCAACACTGTGGGAATTCTATGATTGTACCAATGGTGAAGTTTGTTTAAGATAAAGAAGAAAAATTACAGGATCAATAAATACTTTACAAGGACACACACTCCTAATGAATGCCGTCCCTTCCCACAATTAGGGGTAAAGTGTAGTCACATGGTCACCAGCTATAAATAAAATCACAGAATTTGTTCAGATGCCCCAGTCGTTTGCAAACATGATACGTTTTGCTTTGGCTGCTCTACTTGTCGCAACCGGTGAGTTCCAATTTTAGTACTAAACTTCTTCTTCAGGATTGTAGGAGATTTTTTGTCAAGATCCCTTCAGAAGCAATAAGGAGCAGGGAGCTGTCCATTCCCAGCTATTTGTCAACTCTAACCACTTGGAAGCAGGATGAACTGCCAATATCTAAGCTTTAACTGACAGGGCAAGGGGGAAAAGATTAAACTTGCCTGGGTTACATTACAAATTAATACTGAAAAACAACTCATAGCGAAGAACAAACATTTTCCAGTGTTAATATGTTTGAAATTCCACAATCTCTAAGCACAGCTTTGCAAATGTATAGACGTCCCCAATGACTTATGTGCGTAACCTCAGTGCCTGAGGTCCTGAAACACAGTGAGCTTCATAGAATCCCTACAGCGTGGAAGCAGGCTGTTCAGCCCATTGGGTCCACACCAACCCTCCGAATAGCAACCTCCCCAGACTTACACCCCTACCCCTGCATTTCTTATGGGTAATTCACCATGCCTGCACATCCCAGGATACCATGGGGCAATTTAGCATGGCCATTCCAGCTAACCCGCACATCTTTGGACTGGGGGAGGAAACTGGAGCACCCAAAGGAAACCCACGCAGACACGGGGAGAATGTGCAAATTCCACACAGACAGTTGCCCGAGGCTGGAATCAAACCCAGGTCCCTGGTGCTGTGAGGCAGCAGCGCTAACCACTGAGCCACATGCTGCCCCATGAGCTTGATTCCAGGTACGTGTTAAATTAGTTGTGCAATATTAGATATGTCACATAAACTCAATATCTCTGAAAAAGAGAGGGGGAGAAAAAATAGGGACAAAATTCAAAACACAAAACAGTTGAGGCTGACACAATGCTTTGTTTTTCAGTCTATGGTTGTGGCACCCCTGCCTACCAACCTATACTGTCGAGGGTGGTTGGGGGTGTAGATGCAAGACCTCACAGCTGGCCATGGCAGGTATGTAAACTCTTAAACCAAATTGTTCTTGTATTCAAATACTTAATGAAACAGATAGTACGGATGCCACAGTTAAATTTTGGAGCTCTTCTGATGTTTTGCTTGTTAAATGTACCTTACTTTCTACAATTGCATCATAAAGACCAACATCATTCAGCCTACAATTAGGAGTTGGCTCAACTCAGCCAGGCTTATAAACATGAAAGGAGGACTGGGGATTATGAAACAGATTGCCAATTCCTCATAGCTACTGATCACTATTAGAGGAGTTCACTTATTATTGTTTGGCAAGGAAACCTTTGGACTCATCCAAAATATACAGCCTTCATTCAACAGCTTTCAACCCTGAGTCTTGGCATAAAACATGGTTATAGGACAGTGGCAAGTGCCTATCGAACCATGTTCAGCAAATACGAGGGAATGAGGAATTATTATTAGTCCATGCTTTTTTTAACGTTTGTTCATTCATGGGATTTGGGCGTCACTGGCTTGGCCAGTATCTTTTACCCATCACTCTTTGCTCTTGAGAAGGCAGTGATGAGCTGCCTTCTTGAACTGCTGCAGTCTACCTTGTGTAAGTACCACATGTTAAGGAGCTGCTCGAGTGAGAGTTCCAGGATTGCAACCCACTGCGTCGGAGGTGTTCCCATATATCTTCTGCCCTTGTCCTTTTATGTGGTAGAGGTCAGGGATTTGGAAGATGCTGTCAAAGAACTGTGGTGTGTTGCTGTGGTTCCTAGCATCTGACCTGTTTTTATTAGCCACAATATTTATATTTATATGGCAGATCTAGATCACACTCTGGTCAACAGGAACTCCCTGGACATTGATAGTGAAGAATTCAGCGATGAAAATACATTCGAACTTTGTTATGACTGAGGCTAGAGGAGTGCACTGTTGTATAAAATAAAACATTTTCTAGTTACCAAGATAACCATTTTAATATCTTTACTATATCAGGATTAAAAAAGATCAAATCAGGTTACCTAATAAACACACTGATGGCTCTATTATCAAAAAAACCTATTAAATAAAATGCAACACTTAGTTGGCATAAACAGTAAATAATATAGGTTTATAAATACTTATCTCTCTGAATATCTCCCAAAAACACTCACAGGCAGGCACAAATGCACAATTTTCAGGAAAAGTGGAAATTAATAGATTTCTCTGCAGCAATTAGCTTTCTGAAAACAAAAAATAAAACACTCTCTCCATTGGGTTATTCTCGAAGGATAACGTGTAGGATATTCCAAAGTCTGTTGCTGTGACGTTCAGGCACACATGGTCAAGGGATTGGAGGGTTTGAGTTAAAGGAAGAGGCTGAATAGGTTGAAACTTTTTTTTCTGGAGCGTCGGAGGCTGAAGGGTGACCGTATAGAGATTTCTAAATCATGGGGGGCATGGATAGGATGAAATGGCAAGGTCTTTTCCCCAGGGTAATGGAGTCCAGAACTAGAAAGCATAGGTTTAAAGTGAAAGGGGAAAGATTTAAAAGGGACCTGAGGGGCAACTTTTTCACACAGAGTGTGGTGTGTGTTTGGAGCAAGCTGCCACAAGAAGTGGTGGAGACATGTAGAATTACATCATTTAAAAGGCATTTGGATGGGTACATGAATCAGAAGGGTTTAAAAGAGAAATGGGCCAAACGCTGGCAAATGGGACTAGATTAGTTTATGATATCTAGTCAGTGCAGATGAGTTGGACCGAAGGGTCTGTTTATATCCTGTATAACTATGGCTCTAAGCCACTAATCATACACAATTGTCTCTGACATCTTGCAGTGACAGCTTGTTCAGGAAATACAATCTTGAGATATTCTTTCTATCACTGTTTCAAAGGAGCAAATAGGTTTTGCCTTGCACTGATGTGGAGGGATCTTTTTCCAGAAATGGGAGTGGTCACTGTGCAGCTTGTACTTATAGGAAAGCATGCTAACTCAGTTGGTTCTTTGTTGGATTTCCTCCAAATCAATTGATTCTTAGCATTTTTCCAATTCAGCCAGATAAAACATGCACTTTCTACAGTTCAAAAACCAATCCCAGCCAGGTATACAAGCAAGTAGTTATCACCAGTCACGTGATTTCTAGGAAGTCTTGTTAACAAAGACTCCAATGTCCAAAGTGAATTATAATCTCTGTTGAAGGGAGAATTCCAGGCATGTACATAAAACATGAAACAAATTCCTTTTTCTACAATCCTTTAAAACTCAATTCCCCAGTACTATTTAACATTTTTGTAACAGTTACATTTTCTCCTACTGAAAATGGTCAATGCCTGGTGCCTACTTGCCATTTATCAGCCTTGTCTGGGTACTCTTCAAGTATTGAGCAAAAACAGAAATTGTTGGAGAAACTCAGCAGGTTTGGCAGCATCTGTGAAGAGAAAGCAGAGTTAACATTTTGAGTCCAGTCTTCAGAAGAAGGAAAGTTATAAAGAAGGTTCACTGGACTCAAAATATTAACTCTGCTTTCTTTCCACACATGCTGCCAGCCCCACTGAGTTACTCCAGAAAATATGTTCTTTTTTTCAGATCTTCAGCATTGCAGTTCTTTGCTTTATTTTATTGTTCAAGTCTTGTTAGGAAGTAGAAAATAATCTAACTTTTTCCAGCACAGCTTATGACATGGGGGCTTTTTGATGCATAATTGACATTAATATACGTCTCACCATGTTACAATGAGAAAAATACCATTAATAGAATCCCTTCAGCGTGGAAGCAGGCCACTCAGTCCATCAAGTCTACACTGACCCTCCAAAGAGCATTCCACCCAGACCCACCTCCCCTACCCTAGCCCAGTAACCCTGCATAGCTCATGGCTAATCCACCTAGTCTGCACATCCCTCGGCACTATATGCATGGCCAATCCACATAACCCGTACATTTTTGACTATGGGAGAAAACCAGAGGAAACCCACACAGACATGGGGAGAATGTGCAAAATCCACACAGTTACCCAAGAATGGAATCAAACCCAGATTCCCGGCACTGTGAGGCAGCAGTTCTAACCACTGAGCCAACATGTCACCCACAAATCAATAGGTACTAAGCCCAATTTTGAGTGCACCCAAATCCTTACTTAGGTGAGGGTGAAGATGATCTGGCAACAGGCACTAAACACATTAATGCATTTGAATGAAACCAGGCAGTTAATGTGCAAATCTCACCAGTGGTAACTACTGAGCCACTGTGCCACCCTACATTCAGGTGGTCATGATCAATTGTGTGGCTCAGTTCCAAAGTTTGTCTGATACCACTCCTATGAAATGCCTTAGAATGCTTTATTATGTTCAAGGTGACATATAAATGTAAGTAGTCATTGTTATTTTGAGTGTTGGCTGAGAACAGATGTGGAATATCATGACATTGATACATTAATGATGCACCATCGTTTGTGAACTATTAGAATATTTTTAACCATGATACTGAGCCACTTGAGGGGATGGATGAGTGAAAGTTAGGACATAAGCAGTAACATTTTTGGGTGACCTCAAATTTACCAAACCTAAAGCAGTATTCCCCTGCTAAATGTTTTTAAAAGTACAATATTTGAATTTTTTGCAGATTTCTCTCCAAGTTGCTAGGGGAGATAGCTGGTTCCACACTTGTGGAGGAACTTTAATTGATCAGCAATGGGTTATGACAGCTGCGCATTGCATTAGGTAAGTTACTGGTTTATTTAAAAATGAGTATTTTTGCATTTTAAAGTGATTTCGTCTTTTGGTAAATTTAATGCTAATTAAAGTGAAGGATGGGACTGTGAGAGGATTTCCCCATTTTAGCAATGGCAGGCACTCGCAAGTCAGCTGTAGCATATACAAAATAAAGCTCTCCTCTGCCTAATCTAACAAATGTAACCCAATTGTACTGGTGGCCTCTTATATTTTCGGTTGTAGCCACTCTGCCTGAGCAAGACCGCCAGCTCAACAGTCATTCAACAGTCATTTCAGAAGGACCAAATTTACTCCACATTAGTGCTGCAATTAGAACTAGATTTAGGTTTTATTGTCATGTATACTCAAGTACAGTGAAAAGTATACAATTTCGCCATTTTAGGTACAAGGTACCTGGGTACAAAAAGTGGAAAAAGTAAAGAAATAAGTCAAAAGTTCAACATTACAGTTCTTGTCAGGATGAAGCAGTAAATAAAGTTAAAAGTTCCAAATTACAGCCCTTCATGAACCATGGGTCCACAGTCACTCCACACCAGGCTCTCCCTACATGGATTCCATCTCTTCCCCTACACTGGGCTCAATCTCTCTCGATCCCTGCGCTGCTGTCTTGCCACTGACCACCATCCAGGCACAATCCTTGTCATAAACTTCGCTCAAATAATCCCAGATCCAGTCCATTGACCTATGCGCAGTTCCCACTCTTAGCCTCAGTCAAGGACCCAGTTCCCATCTTTTTCCAATTCTCATTCCCAATTCCAGATTTTGGGTGAGCTTTCAATTCACCAATATGAACCAAATTCTTTAGCTCCCTACTCAAGGAACGACATCCTTGCCCTAGGAGGAGTGCACTGAGGGTTCACTAGACTGGCTCCTGTCAGGAGGGGATACCGCTAAATGAGAGATTGAGTAAATTAGACGACATGTATTCCTCAAAGTTTAGAAGAGCAAAAGATGATCTAATTGAAATGTATAAAATTGAGGGGTTTGACAATGGTAGAAATTGAATAAGTTATTGCACTGTCTGAAAAATCTATCTCACAGGGAGATAGTTTCAGACTAATGGATAAGCTATTTAGACTGAAAGGCAGAGAATCTTCCTCATTCAAAGGCTTGGAACCTTTAAATTTTTCCACCTTAGCACACTGCCAGTGCGTTGGATATTTTCAAGACAGGGGTCAATACAGTTTTGGGTGCTAGAGTAATTAAGGGGTATGGAGAAAGAAGATTTTATTGAATGGAAGTGCAAATTCAAATGGACAAATAGTTTTCTCCAGGTCCTAGCAATGATAGCTTGTCTCATCCAGACCCCACTTCAAGTCAACTAAGAGATGAGTGAATTTCTCTTTCACATTATGGCGTGCTCTGATGCCTTTCAGTATTTTAACCACCTTTGGTTTTTACTCACAGCAAGAAGAATACCTATAGAGTGGCTCTTGGCAAACAGGTCCTTTCAGCCAATGAGCCAGGGTCTGTTTTTGCTGCCGTTGAGAAGACCATCCGCCATGAAAAGTTCAGCATGATCTTCGCTGCCAATGGGTCAGTATGAAAATGAAAGATGCTTCGATAAAATAAAGGGTTGCCCCTCTTCTGAGGTTGCTTGCTCTTGTGAGGGTATGGTCCCACAGTCACTGCCAGTACGTGGCCATATTTCATTCCCCTGTTCCGACACAGTGAGCATTTACATTCTTTCAGACCTTGGAAGGGCTAAGGCAGAGTCGGTCCTTATGCCATGCCCAACATTTTGACTTTCCAGAATTTATCATAACTGAGACTTTTTACTGAATTCCCAGCCCCTTCTAGCCGAGAAGAAAGGGACCTCAATTGTTTATTTCAACAGCCACTCATGACAGCGAGGGATTTACACAATGGGCTTTGTTTCTCACATTGATACTAGCCAGGGGCGTGATTGAAAAGGAGAAACATATTAGAACTCAAAAGCAGAAAATATACAAACTCTCTTCACCTAAACATATGCTGCACCACAACCTATTCGCTACAAAAGCGTGGAGTAAGTGGTCCAGTTTCAGTAGATGTGCAGGAACAGAGAGATCTGAATGTGGGGCCGCTTTTTGAAGGTGGGAAGGCAAATTGTACTGGGTAGGTTTGAAGAGGATTGCATTCCAAGTCTGTTCAGGAAGAGCTCGGGAGTGAAGCTAATTGAATAGCTTTCTCAAAAGAGGCATTTTGGGCTGAATGAGCTCCTTCTGTCCTGGAAGATTCCATAATTTGCGAATAAATGCATCAACAAATCAATTGTAAACAATCCAGAATGAGAAAAGTCAGCGAGTACCCTCAGCATTCGTTATTTAACATTGCCATACTCACCTCTTCAATGACCAACAATGGTATGTTGAGACAGCACAACTCAACACTGTTTTCTTTTTCATTTCCAGATACGATATTGCTCTCGTCAAACTTGCAGTACCGGTTGTTTTAGATGACAAAATTGAGTTGGGATGTATTCCCCCTCCAGGGACTCTTCTACCCAATAACTACAGCTGCTATATCACTGGCTGGGGCCTCTTAAAGGGTAAGTTGGTCTGTCAAGATATGGGGAGTCCACCTCTTATGTCATTTCGGAATGAAGAATATTTAATAGCGCAATGTGCTTCACACCATTAAAGCAAGATTCTAGAGTCAATGGGCCATGTATGTGTCCCACATTCTTTGCAGTTATATTGTCGACACACTAACTTGTCCCATTTGAATTTTGTCGATCTGACCCACTGAAGTCAAATCTTATTTGCCAATTGGTACTCTATAGATGGAGCTTAATCAACTTAACAGGGATTGTGGAACCAAACATACACCTAGTTTGCTTAGTACCACATCCCAGTGCATCTGAAAATCAATTTGAGGGCTTCATTTTGTATCGATTAAGGCCATAAAATGGCTAATTGCAGAACAGAGATTTCCACTAATGTCTTGCAACCTGCGGACGCCATCGTGCCAGTCAATGAATGAAGGGCAAGCTGGACTTATGGTCAAATTAGTGTATTTTACAGCAACCAGCACAACAGCAAATTCATTTACAGAGCTCAAATTGAATAATTCTACTAAAAAGAGCAAAAATAAACTAGCAATGATAACATACCATACCATGAATAAAAGAATCAAGGGAAAAATTGAAACTAAAGATAAAGGGCTCCACTCAGCACTTAGAAAACGAAGGCGAGAAAGAGAAAGAACACAGAAATTTTGGTAAAGTACTATAAAAGCAATTTGAAATTTGTTGATCTGGAGTTTCTGCCTCATTGATGAATGAAGCAGCATGCTACAACTTGTTAGGATAAGCAATTTGGAATACATGCAAATTCAAAGCAATAATGATGTAAAATTTATAATCTAGGAGGCAGCTAAGATGGAAAGCTTGACATGTCTGGGCTAGTGCACTGTCCTAATTGCTGAGATGTGGGAACCGATACTGTAAGGACTAGGTATAAATGCAAAGGGTTAACCTGTTGGACTCAGTGCTTGGTATCTCTTGTGAAGGCATGAGATTGTTTACAGCCAGAGTGTGATTGGACAGTTCTGCTTGGTGATGGAGTGATGGGGTAGGGGACGTTGGGGGCCTGAACACCCAGACACAGAATGTTGGACATGACCCATTTTATTGGAGAAAAATCTTGACATTCTGGTATAAAATGAGATGTGGTTTTGAGAGATTTTTAAGACTACTCATCCATCTCATGACAATAATCCTTCCCATGTCATTGAACATTAATATGACCGTAGTAGTGATCAATTATAAAAATGTTACATGATTGATAAGGATCTATCAAAAGACATTGATGGCATTGACTTCCTGAGTACAATGTGCTTGACTTGCATTATTTTCTTTCTTTTGTCGTGTGGTTTGATGCTACATTGAGTTAATCTCAGATTGGCTGAGGAGAAGGCAAATTCTTTAGGCTTAGGACTTCAAAGTAATGCTATTTATTCATACTAAATATTGCTGTACATGGCAACTACAGATAGAACAGGTTCTGATCCTATAGTTATATTGGGTAAGGACTAATCTATCTCCTGTCCGTGTGTTGATATGAGTCTTCCACTAAAGATTCTTGCAGTGATAGTTTTTTCCAGAGAGTTCTAAATCCATCTGCTCTGTACCATTTGTACTCAGTAACGTACAACTCCATAACATCATCATTAGTTGCTCCAGGGCCCTGGAGCCCTTACCCAACAGTTTTAGATTTTGCACATCCGAAGAGTGTTACAGATGTCCGGTCTGCCACACAACACAGGCCTCAGGGGTACTGTTCATTCCTAGAAGCAGAACCTATGACTCTGGCATTTGGAAGGAGCCCTTGCTGCCCAATATCCAAGAATCCAATAGTATTATTCAGGAAACGTGAGGACTATCTAGGTTTGGGAAACCCAATTTTGGGACCAAATAGGGGTCCCGAACCCACAGCTGCTGGCAGTGGGATCATCCCAGTGATTTTACTGGCAGGGACTGCCTAACTAGTTGCTTCCATATTCACCAACCAATTAAGGTCATTGGGAAGGCTGCACAGTCACAAAGCTGGCAAATGCAAAACCTCTGGAGCATCACTGTGAGAGGTGGTATCTCAACATCACATCCCAATAAATAAATTAAGAATCTAAAAATCAGGTGGAAGGAGGTCAGAGTTGAAATATAACCGGGGGTGGGGGCAGAGATCAGAGTTGAAATACAACGGTGGGGTGGGGGTGTGTGGAAGATGTGTCACTGGTACCCTAGTGCCTGTCTTCCCGATCCTCGGCCCCTCTTTGAGCCATGGAGCCTCCACGAAGTTGCTGACTTTCTCTTGTGGCAGATGGTCACCCTGTTCTTGGCAAAATGGCCTTGCTTAATGTCCCTTAATTGCAGCTTTAATTATGCAAATTGCCAACTGGTGCATAAGTGGGCAGCCAATGTTGTCAGCAGTTGGACAGCATCAGGGGCCATCTGCGTGTGACACCCAGATACTTTACCAACTTCCTTGCTTCCATTCCTGCCAATCTAGGGGCAGGAAAAACTCAGCCCCACTTTTCCACACAAAGTGGATGCCATTGCTGTTGTATGTACCATCTCACAATGCTCCAGTAGCCTTTAGTGATAAATACTAGTGTACTAGCAGAACAATGGATTGCCACCTTCACTACCTGGGAACTAAACTGGCTGAGGAGTTCTCCCAACATCTATAAAGCTACTGAATTTTTATTCCACCTCCATCCCTCACTCTGTTTTTTCCATTACCTTCAATCTCCACTTTGTTCTGCAACCTAATTTGTGATGGGTTACAGGTCACTGTTCAGAAATGCACACATGCTGTGGGTGAGCCCATTCTTTTGGGTATGGTGGTGCATCATGGCCTGGTATGATGAGGCATTCGTGCACTGTCTACATAGATGCTTCTTTTCTAGCAGTTGAAAACAGTAACTTCAGCTGACTTTCTCGCTTTGCCCTTTCCTGGCAAGGCAGACTCCCACTGAAGAATCTTCGTCCATAATCCGAGCTGGGATCTGCAAACTCTAGGCAGATTAGCATCTGACCATAGCATCTCCAAACTGGCTTTAGCTGAATGAACAATCCTACAGCATTATAGAATCCATGCAGTGTGGAAGCAGGCCATTCAGCCCATCAAGTCTGCACCAACCGACCAAACAGTATCCCACCCAGACCCACATCCCCCCACCCTATCCCTGTGACACCACATTTCCCATGGCTAACCCACCTACCCTACACATCCAAGGGCACTATGGGCAATTTAGCATGGCCAATCCACCTAACCTGCTCATCTTTGGACTGAGAGAAGCAAAGCACCTGGAAGAAACACATGCAGACGTGTGGAGTGTACAAACTCCACACAGACAGTTGCCCGAGGCTGGAATCGAACGTGAATTGTCCCTGGCGCTGTGAGGCAGCAGAGCTAACTGTGCTGCCCACAAATTAGCAGGTACTACTCCCAGTTTTGAATGCATCCAAATCCCCTTGGGGCTCGGGGGAGTGGGAATACAATCTGGCAGCAGGCACTCAACACATCACTGCGTTTGAATGCAACCAGCAAGTTAATGAGCAAATCTCACCTGCATACCTGAGTAACATTGGAGTCTGTTCTCTTGCAGCTGGCGGTTCTGTCTCTGACATCCTGCAACAAGCCCTTCTCCTTGTCGTGGATCATGCCACTTGCTCTCTGCCTGACTGGTGGGGGGGGATAGCAAAGGAGTCAATGGTGTGTGCCGGTGGTGATGGAGTGGTCTCAGGATGCAATGTTAGTTGACCAACCCAAACTTGCTCATGGATTGCATCATTTGAGCCTTTCCACGTCTCGCCAACGTCTAATCTCTGCTTCTATTCCTTGTCCAGGGAGACTCTGGTGGGCCCTTGAACTGCCAGAATGATAATGGAACCTGGGAAGTGCACGGCATCGTCAGCTTTGGGTCTGCTTTCTGCAGCCACAAGAAGAAGCCAACCGTCTTTACGCGGGTGTCTGCCTACAATGACTGGCTTACTGAGGTATACACACCACAAATATCCACTATCAGTGATTAGAAAACTGTATTCCAATTCTGAAGAAGTCATACTGGACTTGAAAAATTGGCTTTCTCTCTCTGCACAGATACTGTAAGGCCTATTGAGTTTCTGTGCTTTGTTCAGATTTCCAGTATTCGCAGTATTTTGCCTTTACCCAGAAATATTGAAGATCACTAAAGTAGTGAATATTTGTATCTCTTCAACAATTCTGAATTGCTAACTCACTCTGTGGCTGCCATGACATCCATCTGTTTTAACAACCTAGTGAGTTTGAGAATCCCACATCCCATTTATAAAAATTCCTATCTTTAAAGGTCAAAGTGCAAATATGACTTTTCCGTCCACCTAGGCCAATCCCAAAATCTGTCATTCCCTCTAGTACTACAAGTCTCCCAGATCAACATTCCTTCAATTTTTGTCATTCCACGAATTCCATCTCTGCCATTGGTAGCCATTCTACTGCAAACAAGGCTTGAAGCTCTAGAATTCCCTTCTGAAATCTCTCCATTGCCCATGCTTGATAAAACCTACCTCTGAACAAATTTTCAGCCACTTGACCCATTATATCCTTATGTGGCTGAGTATCAAATTTTGCTCTGTGATATGTCATGGGACAGTTTGCTTGTTTTAAGATTCTATATAAATGAACGTCATTGCTGTCAATGGCTGGAAGCTATAGGGGAACATTGTAATGATCATTAGTTTATCTGGACTTGCAGCAATGTTCCCATTACAGAAGAGGAGGAGGCCATTTGAAGGAGTCCATTTCAACTCTTTGTAGAAAAAGCCAGACTGTCCCATTTCTCCACTCTATCCTAACAGCCTTGCTCTTTGCGCATTTGATCACATATCCACCTATAACTACCATTACAGCATCTAATCTTTGACCCAACCAGATATTTATCGAAAATCAAAATACTGCAGCCAGTGAGAATCTGCAAAAAACAAAGCAGCAAACACTTGAAACGTTAAGCAGGTCTGACAGCATCTGTGAAGGAAGAAACACAGTTAATGATTCAGGTTGAAACGTAACAGATCGTATGCATGTACAGAGAAAGGGGACAGGGGAGGAAGAACAAAAAGGAAAGTCTGTGATAGAATCATAGATACCCTGCAGTGCAGGAAGAGGCCATTCAGCCCAACAAGTCTGCACTGACCCTCTGAAGGGCATCCCATTCCGGCTGTAGTGCCACACCCTATCCCCATAACCCCACATATACCATGGCCAATCCACCTAACTTGCACGTCTTTTTAGTATGGGAGGAAACTGAAGCACCTGGAGGAAACCCACACCGTCGCTTGCAAACTCTATACAGTCACCCATAGCTGGAATCAAACCCGGGTCCCTGGTGCTGTAAGGTAGCAGTACTAACCATTGAGCCATCATGCTACCCAATTATACGGTGGAAGGCAGACGAGATCAAAAGGCGAAAGGGATGATCTTGCAAGACAGAGATGGTAAGGAGTCAGGTATAAAGTCAAAAGATGGGATTGCCTCAACTGAAAAGTTACAAAAAAAACATTACTAGTAATTCCCACTCAAAAAAAATTGAAATAGTGGTTCTACTCTGAAATGATCAAACTCTTCGTTTTGTGAAAAGATAAAGTAGCCATTGTCCCAGAGGAACATACAGCTGCTCTCTAATGAGAGATGACCAGCAGTGGTTTAACCTGAGGATCACCACACCTCAGATGAGGCGAGAGATCGAGAAGGAGAATCCTTCATGGTAACCTCAGTCAACGTGGGAATTGAACCCACATTGTTGGCATCACACTGTCTTACAAACCAGCCAACCCAGCTAACCAACCAAAAAGAGTCCAATTAAAAAGGTAAAGTGTTGATCCTTCAGCTTCTTTTCGTTTCACTGAAACTAAATATTTAAACTGTTCTTATTTGGAGATACATTTTATTCAGTCTTTTAATTTCATTGATAACTTGTCAGTCAAATCCATATCTGTGACAGGGAAAACAGTTTTTTGACATGAGTTACACAACGGTTATTAATTTTTAGTATCAACCTTTTGATAAGTGATTTATTCTTCAAATTGTCATTAGAATAACATTTTATTACTTTACAGAAAATGATGAACAACTAAAGGGAACCACATTGAAGCTCTGGAAGATTATAAACTGAATGCAATTCATAAAATAAATTTATTCTTAAACAAGATTTTGCCTCGAGACCTTTAATTATGACATTCCTTATGGAGTTATACAGTTGTACAGCATGGAAACAGACCCTTCGGTCCAACCAGTCCACAAAAATCATAATCCCAAACTGAACGAGTTCTACTGCCTGTGCTTGGCCCATATCCCTCCAAGCATTATATTTATCCAAATGTCTTTTAACTTTATAGTCAGTAACTTGATTGAATCCTTTGACACACACAGAGCTTATCAGCCTCATGGATGAGAAAATTCATTAACCTGTATGGATCATATCATCAAGCATCACAAATTAGGCACTTCTCCATGTGGAGAATAGATATAAGTGTCAAACAGAAGCAGGCCATTCAGTTCCTGCATCTATTCTATCATTCAATTAGATCATGGCCAATCTGTACTATAACTCAGGAAGCTTGGCACTATTCAAGAAGAAGCTCATTGCTTGACTGGTATCACATCCACCCACCTATCTGAAAATTCACTGTTTGCACCACAAACACACAGTAGCAGCAACATATACCACCCACATGATGCACTGCAGGGGCTCACCAAGGCTGCTTTGGCAGTACCTTTCAAACCCATGATCATTTAGAAGCACAAGGACATCCTGTTGAGTTCCCTTTTAGGAGATTCCTTCGCACTTGATACAAATGCAGTACGCCAACTTCTGTGAAAAGTCACAGTTTATTTAAGCAAGTACAAGCTTTGGAGGATCACGTAACAGTCTTCGCAGGGCTTGCGGAGCCACGTCAAGCGATGCTCCCTCTAAGGGAACCGTCCTCCCTTTATATAGGTTTTTACAGCACAGTCAGACATGCATACAAGATATAACTTTTTTCTCCCCCATAATCATGTAACTTAATCATCTAACAGTAAAACAAAGGTTAGCTGCCCAAAAACAATGTGTAAGACGAGGTAGTTCCTCATCCTTTTAGCCTTAATTCAACACTTACAGAGAGCAAAGTATAATTAGATTACCACCTTTTGTCTGCGAGACAGGGGCGTCCACGAAGCACTTAATTTCTTTTATGTCAGCAGAACAGATATTAACCCTTTAACATTTCATTCCCTCCTTTTATCATTCCATGATAACCAACTAAATGGGGGCTGAGAAAGGTGCCGCCAGCTTATTCGTAAGAATCTTACAGCCAGTATTTAAGCAAGTTATTAACACACAACATACAATGATTATAACAACAAAAATTACTAGCCCATGCAGTAGATAGGATCCCCAGGATCCTCCCAGTAGCCACCCTAGCCAGTCATCTCCTTTCTTAGGACCTTGTCTGACATCTTCCAATTGTTTCTTAATAGACTGGATGCCGTGGGTTATGTTGTACGATTCATCCATAACATGGGTGATGCATTTGTCTCCTACTATTGTACAAACTCCCCCTTGATGAGCCAGCTGATAGTCCACTGCATACCGGGTTTGCTCAGCATTGAGCCGAAGTTCAGCTAATTCTTGATTTACTGCTTCCAATGCCAACATTGTGCTATTTCCCAGGGCGGTGAGTCCACATATAAAGGTAGTTTCGGTTTTTAGCGGACACCACCCCCGAGGAGCCTCCCAAAGTGACAGTTCCCAGAAAGCCATGTCCCAAGGAAGAGCCCAGGGTTACTGGATCCTGCCAGTCAGCGCAAAACTCCTTGCTTATGAAGCGGTTGACAATTCGTTGTCGAATATATGCTCGTTGGGGACAAGGGACCGTGAGAGGCCCAATGGTCCCAACAGCAAATAGCACCGGCAAAGTTGGAGTCGCAGTAGAAAAGGTCCCATTGAGAAGGAAAACGAATCCCTTCTTAGCACGGTAGCAGGTAACGGACTATCTTGTAACTATTCCAGGAGGATTGACCCTTAAATGGTTGGAAGTCTGAGGAGTGAAACGGAAACGTCCCATACCCCGTTTCTACATGGGTGCCATTACAACTCCCACAAGTCCAATGTATGCCTGAAGTCATGTTTACCTGTTTTGATTCCAAACAGGTGCAGTTCAATAGCCCTCCTTTAGTTGTACAAGTCCATTTACACACTGATGGGGCCAGGAAGCATCATGGGGATGGTGGGTGACGTTTACTAAGGCATATACACAACAACTTCCAGTGCCATTAAAACAAAGCGGATAGCTGTTAGGATCCGTACAGTTGGCCACTTCCTTCCCAGACTTCGGTTTAGTGCCTGTACAATTGGAGGGGCCGTTACTTATCAATTCTACACATTTACCCTGCACACCTCTGCTCCAGGTTCCTCTCTTCCCTTGGCAAGGCTCACCGGAATAATCTACTTCATAGAGTTGGTGAGGCTTCCATCCTGGGGTTGCTACAAACAAGGCTTCTACAGATTGTGCTAGCGGTTAACACACTGTTCGATTACCATGCAGTAGGATATGTGTCTTATAAAACAAATTGTCCTCCAACCCACTCACAGTCTGAACAATACTTAGTCCAATGATTATTTTCAAGATGGTGAGGGAACCCATTGTTTATAGTCACTTAGGTGGATCCAGCGATTCTGCCCTTTGACTTTAAGCGCAGTCAGAGTCTGGGGAAGTATTTGGAATGGTCCTTTCTACCTGGGTCCGAGCTTGGGGCAATCCCAGTCCTTGATCAGCACGAGGTCTCCCGTTTGTTGTCTGGGGGGGTTCATTCTGGTCGTCTGAGCTCTGATCCGTCGCCTGTGATGGTGGTCCAAAGGCGTGCTTCACCTATGAATGAAGAAACTCTAGAGACGATGTTAGCTGCTGAAAGTATCTTTGCATTTCCTCTCCCATAATATTTAAGTCTATGTGGGTAGGTGGGTCTGCGTCGGCATCCCAAGGGGTCCTACTGAGTCGGCCATAAATTATTTCTGCGGCCGAGAGTCCAGTAGTGAAGTGGGGTGTTATTCTCATGTGGTACAGAGCTAAAGGCAAAACCTTTAGCCAGTTAAGGCCAGTTTCGGATGTTAGCTTAGTCAATTTAGTTTTGAGAGTTCCGTTAGCTCTTTCCACTATCCCTGCCGCCCTGTGGGTGGTAGGCACAGTGGAATTGTTGTTGGATGTGTAACACCTCACATAGTTCTTTGTTGATTTTCCCTACAAAGTGGGGGCCATTGTCTGAACTAATCTGTCGAGGCACTCCAAACCTCGGTACGATCTCTGTCAGTAGTAATTTTACCACTGTTGAGGCTTTATTAGTGGTTGGAAAGGCTTCAATCCATCTGCTAAATACATCAACAATAACAAGACAATACTTATAGCAACGTACACGCAGCAATTCAATGAAATCAAGCTGAATACACTCAAATGGGCCACCTGGCCAGGGTGTTTTCCCTGTTACGCACCACATTCCTTGGCTGGCATTATTTTGCCGACATGTCAGACATGACCTGACACGCTTCTGGGCTGCCTCAGCCAATCGGGGGTGCCACTAGGTACGTAACGTGATATTACTCATTCCCTCCTTGCCAAGGTGGGTATCAGTATGAAGACAGTCAATAAGCATTGGTAACAAAGTATCAGGTATACACACTTGGCCAACTGGAGTGATCCAGAGACCTCTTGACGCAGAGTGCGAACACCCATGCGTCTTCCATATGTCTTTTTCTGCGTCAGGGGCGTCGCCCTGTAAACGCTGCACAGTGACAATGTCTGGTATGCCCGTTGTGTTCGAAGTAGGTGAGCGATTTAACGCCTGCAGGTTCATAGAGGACACAATAGAATTGTGTGCTGTTGCAGCGTCTTTGGCAGCTCGATCAGCTCTGGCATTGCCTTTGCTGATATCTGTATTGTCCATTACATGGGCCGCACATTTGATTATGGCCAATTGCTTGGGGAGGAGGATGGCTTTGAGGAGATTTTGGATGTATAGTGCTGATGTGGTTGGGCGGGTGGGGCACCAGGCGGAATTTGACAATCCTCCTCCTGGTCATCGGTGTCATTATTTTGGAACAATATTGGCAGACCAGACATGTCAGGAGGTACCTACATTTTATTCCCACATGATAAACCGGCTTGACACTTCAACCCTGATTCCTTATTTTGCCTCTCCTTTCTCAATCTTTCCTGTTCTGCTTTACTCATATCATAATCCTCACACTGCCGCTTCAACACCTCCCATGACTTAGGGTTTCCCTCATGATCACATACTCTAATACCTCTCCGACGTGCATTATTCTCCCAGCTGGCCTGTTTAGATTTATTCATTATTTCCTCAGCAGTCTTTCTCCACGTGGATATTAAAGTTTTCCATTTTGCCCCTGTATTACGTTTCCAAATTGCCTCTTCCGCTTTTATGCATTTATCTACATCCCAAGTTCTCCCTATTGGCCAAATTTCATTTCCAATTTCTTATTTAGGCATGCCAACAGATGTCTGAACCGTTCTTCATTTTCGGGGTCATCCCGACATAACCGATGGAAAGGCGTTCCGACACCCGACTTATCCAACGTCTGTCCCATTTTAACGCTTCTACTTCTTACTTATTTCTATATACTAGTCCAGTGTCCTTGGTCTCCTCACCCACTTCAGGGTCCTGACCTTCGCGTGGGGGATTCCCCCTCTTAACAACCGGTCTAAGGCAGGGTGGTTGAGACAGACACTGTAGTTATCTTTTACCTTAGGTACTATGTTCCAGGGACTCAAACCCCGGTATTGGAGGACTCTAACCCCCAAATTCCTGGTGCTTACAGTTAGGAGGACTCTGACCCCCCCAAATTCCCGGTGCTTACAGTTAGGAGGACTCTGACCCCCAAA